GGTCAGGAAGAATGTCAGCGCCGAACCGTTTAAATCTAGCATTTTCGACCCTGACTACAAATAAAGCGAACGGTAACTGGCTGTTAATCGATGTTGCGCAGCCTGCGCAATCATGCTTTGTGCTACATGATATAAAGAGGTGGACGTGGTTTTTAGTTAAAAAGGAAATAAGACTTGTAACCGAACTAACTTTAGAACAGCACCATAACCGAGTACGTGAATGCAGGCAAACATCTTAAACTCACGAATTAATATGTAATAGTGCCGCGAGAAAGGACCAAAACACGAGCATATGACGATATTTGAATTAGCGCACACTTGCAACACTGCCACTGCCATCCATCGGCACGTTTGAGGTGCTACAAGTGAGTTCTAGGATGGCAATTTCGCACGGCTAGTTCGGCAGCGCCTCCACGTTATACAAACGTTCCATAACGCAATCGAGCAATGACGTATGGAGGGCATATTTTTAAACAGAGAAATGTAATGCCTACGGCATTCTTTTCCATTTAAAAGTATAGCAACGGTTATAAGTGAGCTTATTTCAGGATGTCTGATACCTGCTTTAATATCTTCCGAAGTGGAGCATTCTCTTCAATTCTATGCTTAGTCCACGTGAAGCTCACGTCACTTGGTAAGCATGCAGCAATGGCCTCCACACACCGAGGCTGTGCATTTTTTACCTTGTCAGAAACCTTTTCACTTTGTTTTTTACCTCGATTTACCTTGTCAGAAAATTGAATGTATCAATAATACGAAACATTATCAAACTCCTTTGGTGCTGCTCCTTTCAGTTTGAGTTTGGAGAAAATACCAAACGAATCTGTTCTAAGTTGCTTATTTTCTAATTTCACGATATCTTCAGAAGTGGGGGGACACAATCGACGGTGCATCAAGCCCGAGTCTGAATTGATCGCATGCAGTACGGTAACAAGGCACACATCCCAACTCGGTATCGCCGCGCTCGCGGGCATGACAGCAGCATTAATGGAGGCACAAAATGCTGGTGCAACGAGTTACTAACGAAATGCACTTTATGGATCCGAGTGCTTGTGCGAGGAACATTTACAACGCGCGGTATTCCACAAACTTCTGATTATTCGTCGAAGGAATTTATGAAGGAAAATGTTCAAACATATTTGTATATATGTCAATCTTTTATGCACAGCACTTTGCCAGGGCAAAACAAAACCTTCGTGTTTCCAACTGACACTGGTGAGCAAGCTCGTTAGTTTATTTGTCCCGACAACGTGCCGTGCTTGAAGTATTGGCATACGTGCAATGTTTTCGGGTCTTTCCTTCCGCTCCTTCTTGATGTCGAGGAACCTTTTCCAACTTGTTGCCAGAATACCACGCTGAAGGTCACATTCTAAAACCTACAGACCAATAGCGGGCAGTTTCTAGCAAACACATCCACACAAGTGGATGCGTTAGCTGTTAAACGTACGAAGAATATGGGCTGTGAAGTGTAGTGTTGTCGGATTTCGGCAGGATTCTTCACCCAAAAACCATTCTTCACGAACATCACGCGTGACTTGAATAGAATGATGTCCAGCAAGTAGAACAGGTCTCCCATATAGTCAAAGGTATACCAGTACCTGGATGTCTCTGAAAACGCGTGGGCATAGTTATGTCACGGCATCAGAACTGAACAGTGCTCAACGGCGTGGATTGATCACGTTTTGCTGTAATAGGAAGTGTATGGGCAACGGCACCAAAAATTCCCTCTTGAACGATATGTAACACGCGTCCGGTTGGGGTCAAATTGACACCCCAAAGATTTTCCAGAATTGCTTCCGAACAGCGCGGCGTAGCCACGACAAATTTTGCATAGCTGTAAAGAACTGAATAGGGGATTGCTTATGTTGAAAAAACAGATGCGCCTTGAAAGGTTGCTGATCTATAGGAACTATAGTTCAAAGTCAGGCTATGGCTGTCAGCGAAGGGCATTTCTAGGGAATCGTTCAATGTGATGCAACAACGGATGGTTAGACGAAGCCATACATACCTGAGATAGTTTGCTAGGTAATACAGCAATTTAATTTAGAGACACGACCAACTTGATTGACGATGGGTCAGGTATGAGGGTCAGAATGAGGTCAAAACTAACATGCATTTTTACTCGAGACCTTGGTTTATGAGACAGATTCTGGTGCTTATTTCGAATCTATTGGTGATGGGAACCGCAATAGACATGTTCCATGGAGTTCTTAAAGGTCAGAGTAGGTCACTGCACTCAAATAACCCGGGTCAACACTTAATGTTTAGAAAAACACCTAGCTTGATTTTTGACGCCTGTTTTAATGACAATACAGGAGCAATCTCGTAGATATGTTGTTACCCGAAACTCATAAAGGTCAAACAAGACCACTGACCTTCTTGGCCTCTTGCTTTGAACAGGCATTTAGCTTCACGGCAGTTCCATGAAGCGGTCTGGGGGCACTTAAGACACAAATCTGGAGTCTGACCTTGCTTGACCTTATTTGACCTCAAGGCTATGACTTCACAACCTCAAATTTCTCCACAAATGAGTTCACGTACAGGTCATTCCACCCTGTGAGTTTGAGTCTCTTCTATTTTGTTTTATCTCAGGGGTGAAATTGACCCCACCCGAGCGAATGGTATTCAGCCGGCCACCCGGGCAAGCGTTGACTGGAAACAGTATCGCGTCATGGAAATCATGGACACTATTCAAAGAGCAAGTGACTAAGAGGTCCCAAAGAATATTTTCGATGGTGTCTGGCAACCAAGCTGTCGGCAAGACTAAATAGATTACCAATTACACAATACCTAGCGCTTTAAAGGTCTACACAAAACATTATTTTAAAAGCAGGCCAAATGGATCAGCGATCAACGGATCACTCTCTGCTCGATCCCAATAGCATTAACGTTCCTTACAAAACCATATTATAAGATATTGAACCATCCCAGGTCACGCCGCTAATGCATCATGGGCAAGTGATATTTACGGTGGGTCCGAAACCTGGCTTTGACCTTAACATCGACTATAACAACATTGAAGTGACCATTTACCTGGGGTGTGGAAAGGAAAGGCAGCACGAAGGGGTATCGCCCAGCTGTTGTATGTGAAAAAGATGGATATGATGGCCAGCCAGACGAGGTACACAACACCTGAAATAACACAACACAGGGGTTAACTTCAGGTTAAAAAGCTTCACAGCGAAATTTAGAAATGGGCAAAATGCGAGTAGTACCGGCATTGGCACAGCAAACTACACTGAATAAATGGTAAATGCTTCCTACCAACGCTCTTTGAAGACAATGAATGCCGCAGAAAGTCTCTATTATGGGTACAAAGGCTCCGGGGCTGAACTTAACACCATTTTTTCTGTACCGAAGGTCCGCAAGCAAAATGTTGTGCCATGTGACTTTGGGCCACATTTCTCCGCAAGCAAATTTTCTTAAGAGTAAATTTGCCTCACTTTTGCTCTGGTTCCCCGCTTTTTATCGCGCGAAAGGATCAGGAGGTCGTTGCCATCCCACCTGCTGGTTCCAGACTAAGCATGATGAGGGGCGCGGAAAAACCGGTCGATTGGCCTTAGCGAGATGTTGCCAGTGATTGCAAGTTTTATGCGGCTAGGTCAACAATTGTCTATTAGGCCAGGTAAAAAAAGATGTTTGGATATGGACAAAATTTCACCTTCACATGTCATGACTTACGAAACCATGCTGCGCGGCGACACGACACTTACGACACTTGTTATTCATGTGTGGTTGCGAGTGCTTCGGACCATATGTTGATGGCGTAGAGCTACGTGAATGCACCAGTCCCGGCTCGCCAGGTGCGATAGGCGGATTTGCCTGCTGCGACTCGCCGCCGGCACCAGGCGTGCATTGCCGTGCAGTGTTCCTCTTAAAATGTCGATGCTCATAGATGATAAAGTCGGATGAGCATATTATCGAAACATAGGCAAAAAAGGTCCCAGAGGCCACTGAAAATTTGGTCGCAATCACACAGCATACCGGAGAGATATCCTCAGAAATATTTGTGGCGACTGCTAAGGAGCGTTAGAACTGGCGGAAGAAAATGAGCATGGGAAAAGAACACTATTATAGCGAGGATGGTAAGGAAATGCAACGTTTCTATTCTGAACACCACGCTTGTCATGCCAAGAATTGTATACGTAGCCGAGAAACGTGATGAAAAACGGCATTTACGAAGAAACGTGATCCGAAAAGATGCTTTAAGGACAAATGTGGTGCAAAAAATTGCGCGCGTGAGGTTTCCGGGTGCGAGTTTCGCAGCCACGGAATTTTGTGAGCACGATCATTTACGTGCGGGATTTGCGCATAGCGTTTTGCAAAAGGAAAATCTGCGCGCAAAATTCTGCGTAAGACAAGCTGCAATGCTAGGACATGCACATGAACCTTGGTGTGTGAAGAAATGCATAACAAACAGATGGGATATCATTCTTTGTCGGGCCGCGAAGTAAGCAATGCAACTGCATTAGTTGCTTTTTTGAACACGTCATCGGCCACTCTTCTACGATCCAAACGTACGAACCACTTAGAGGCCTCGTGCGCCGTGGAACCACCAAGGTGATGAGAGCGTACTAACTATTGTCGTTATCATCATGCACATGACGTCAAAATCTAAGCGAGCGGACCAGACGTCTTCGCTGGGTTTTACGCATGCGTATGGCCATTGGTCATGTACGTCTTGCATGGGTTAAGCAGTCAGCTATTCGATGAAATTGTCTTCACGCGCTTTTTCACATTGCCACTGTGCGAAAATGAAGCATGGACCTCGCTATGTAAGCAAATTGAGCTGATGATTTTCCGTGAATTGGTTGTGGCCAGATCATTGTAAAACACTATTCAACTTTGGGATGAATGTTGGTGCTGATTTGAATTCATGGATCTTCATAGCGATGAACTTAACTAAGCCCCGTTTACTGATTAAATGCACATATCAATCAGCTGTTAATCTATTTCTTCGCATCTGCAATTTTTCGTACATTATTTCTTAATAGATGAATAATTTTTTATTGGATTGCATCTCATCTCGCAACCCCCAAACCACCTTGCAACGGCGCTCATGCTTGTTTGTCATGACATGCGCCGTGCTTTTGAGACCTATGAACCGAACACTTTAATACTTGAGAAACACAGTTCAAAGGTCCCGATACTCCCGTCCCGTTGGCTCATTTGGTTTAAGTGCCTACCTTGAGATCCACCCACCCTCGTCGGGGTAGGTTCGAATCGCTTCAGGCGATCATTATTTGCCCTTGACTGGAGCGGCCTACGACCGGCGGCAGCGATCTCGCTATAGGTCAGGTGACGCCAGAGAGCAGGGCGGACCGTGCCGAGCATTACGGCACGTTCAACTTTTGCCGCGAAGCCTTGCCGTTGACCCAAAATGTCACTATCTTATCGTAGGGGTCATGGCTCACGCTACAAGCACTGCTTTGCGCGAACCCTGATCCCACAAATTCATAAATACAAAAGGCTAGGACTAAATCTTTAAAAGGGCACTGTACGAGCCATCGATGTAGTAATGAGGGTTTTTTGTATTGTTTATTGAACTAACTTGTTCCATGAAATATCAGGATATTACACTGGTTTTAGGCACCGAAAGTATTAAACTGATTTTCGCATCCTGATTTTTCGGCAGTACAATTTTGGAGATCCTATGCCGACAGAAGCAGCCTTTCGTTTTGCCAAGAGGTGCTGGTGAAACGGTGCTATCAAGCAAACATTGGTTACATAGTCCAAGCTCAATATTAAGAGCTGGATGATGTAATCAACTCCTACATCGGAATATCCTCATCCTCAGATTGATTGCTCACTTGTTACGGCACCTGCAGCGAAGCTTGTGATTAGATGCGCTGGGCCATTTTGCTCTCTTGCCACTGTTAATACATTATTGGATGACGCCAACGGCCTCATGCAGTGAGCCACCTTACCCCGGTGGTTGATGAAATGGTTGTTGCAGCAGATGCGGGAGCAGCATCAGTGATCTACATTACCGGGAGTCGCTGGCCAGGTTGATGCAATAACGGGTACAGTCGATGGCTCCATGCGTCAAGCTGCCTTACCTCGCGGGTTGATGGCCCGGTTGATGTAATAGCGGGTACAGACGATGGCTCCATGCGTTAGGCTGTCTTACCTCGCGGGTTGATGGCCCGGTTGATGAAGTAGGTACGGCAGAAGCTCAGGGCCAGACGGCAAGAGGACGGCCTCGGGGCCTCGGTGGGCGCCTCCTCGTCGCCGTCGGTGAGCTGGGCTCCGGGCGGCGGCGGGACCGGCAACGGCGGCGGCTCGGCCCAGTCTTCCTCTGGCGAACAGCGGCGCCGCCGTGCGCGTGTGACGTCACCAACCAAAAGATGCCAACAAGATGCCAAGAGATGCCAAAAACAGCGAAATACGGTGACGGCTTTCAACGATGAAAACCTTGATCTCGCCCGAACGATGCTTTCCCTTCACACCCACAAGGGTGCCGCCCAAATGTCGACTGACTTTTGAGCCCGTAACAACGCAGCAGGCGGCTGGTTGGCATGGCAACGGCATCTGCTAACCAGCTCCGACACTGCCTGGCCACCCAGTCAGCTCTGACACTGTCAGGCTACACAGCTCACACTGCCTGACATTTTGGGTAAACACTCTCCAGTTATCGTAACTGGAGAGCTTTTCAGTTTCCATCTGTCGTTGGTTTTATTTTGATGTTTTCTCCACCTCACCATGCTGACTCTTCACAGTCGTTTCGTTTAACGGTGTTTGGATTTCAAAAATCCGTTTGCGCTGCGACTTTACCTCGTAACACGATAGTTGTGGGAGCTGTATGACCATTTGCCGTCGATGCGCACCTTAAACTCCAACTCATCCTCATCAGCTTTGACGTTACTTGGCTACCCGCATGCTACGCTGGCCGGCCTCCCCACCTGCGCCGCTCCCGGACGCTGACGAGGTGGGCGACTCCTGCAGCACCGACTTGACTCGGTTGGTGCGCTGCGTGAAGCGACGCACCAGGTGTCGTATTTGGTCGGGGACGGCGCCCTGCGCGCGCTCGGCCGGCGCACCTGAGGCCGACCTTGAGCCGGTCGCAGAGGACCGGTTAAACACGCCTCCGTTAGCCGAGGAAGGCCAGCCGAAATACACGGCTACAAAACGCTAGCAGTGTCGACTCACATGAATGGGAGGATTAAATCCTCGCAAAGAGTGACGCGGATCAAAAGCTCTGCAACACGGTCTCCCGCCTGTCACCGGCGTGATTGTGTGTGTTAAACACGCTACCAACCAGGCTTTTATCGAAATCGGACCGCCAGCTGTCTGTCACGGGATGTGAGGACATGGTCTCGTCTACCAGTCACGTGGATTTGTGTTTAAGAGACTCACCTGCCGGGCACGTGGATAAGGATACTTTTAGCAGCTCTCACCTGTCGGTCACGCGGATGTGAGGCACAGACAGGCTGGTCTGGTCTGCTTGTTCGGTGGCGAGCAGCTGTCCGGAGCTCATGTAACCGGACGACCACCCCATGGCTGAGGCTGCTGGAGGGGAGCTGTCAGCGCGGACGGACGGAGGACCGGCCGCCGGACCAGCCACACCGTCATCGGCGAGCCACGTGAGAGATGGGTTTCACGAATTGATAGACGGAGACGGCTCGCCGAGACCGACAACGCGAACTCGTCTGAGGCTTCCTGTTGTATATGTGTTGTAAGGATCGGTGGCGGTTCGGCAGTAGTGGAAGTGATGAGCGACCACAATGTGAAAACACGCGCTCGAGGGGGGGGGGGGCAATTTGGCAGCTTTGCTTATTTGTAGGCAATGCAAGGTCAGATATTTTGACAAAAAGATTGGGTGTACCTTGCAGAGTTGTTGACCTATGGCAGGTCAAAGCAAGGCCGTAGATCTATACGAAGTTAATTCCTAGAGAACCCTTCAACCTGATGCGGCAGCTGAGTGTTAGACGGCACCACACATCTCGCTCAGATTACGACTGATTCCATTGACCTCGGATTGGGTGTTAAGGCCAGAACGAGAACAAAGCGAAACTGTTCTCTCACTGCAGGACTAGCTTTAAAGGATAGTGTTTATGTTCATGCATAAATGCATTTTTTCTTTTTACAATTTTGCATATTTTTGTATCATGTACCTTTGTACATGATACGTGCACATAGATATGCACATAGAGGCGTTAACAGACATCTTACTTGGACCGCAAAAAGGTTGCAGAAGGCCAGCAACAGAACATAATCGCGATCAACCTGGTGAGTCAGGAACATACCGCCTAGCATAATCGTTGACGCACATTTAAATTGAAAATCAGAACCATTCTGTAGTTTTTTAGTTACCGTGGTCTTTTGGGGGCTGAATAAGTCACTGATCTCAAGTAAACAGGAGTGACCATTTGTTTAGCACAAGTCTCAAGGTTAAAAGCTTAACCTAGTTTGACATTGTTTTACCCGAAGACCATAACCTAGGTACTTCAAAACTTGATACGGTTAGGCTATACACTGGCCTACTTATCCGTAAATTTGATGTCTCTAGTTCTCTTAGTTTTACGATATCAGGGGTAAAAATGATCCCGTGAGATAAGTCAGACTCAAGGGCAATATTCCCTTTACCAATTCACCCGTTACCCATACAACTGCGCACTTATACCCATTCGCCACCCATATCTAATCAGGGATTTCATGGATGTTTAAAAAAGCACCAGAAGATGAAGAGCCTCGGCAACATCGCTAAAACACCTGGCCGTGACAAGATGGCCAGCGTATCAACGTCAACACTCTAGTCTTCAAAAGTAAAGCTTTTATTTCATGTGGCAAGGCTACACTTAAAAGCCGCAAATTAGACCAAACACTCGTGCACATCTTTGCAGGGCGCTTTAGATAAACAATAGTGCTGTGAGTACCTTCGCCACGCTCACTTTGCAAACCAAATTCATGTGTATTTCTTGGGTGTCGTTATTGACACAGCAATGTTGTTGTGCAGAGGCCCAAAAGCAGCTCTTGTCGGACACAGTAGAGTGTAGGGTGGCGAGAGGGTGAGCTGTGCACAACACTCCGGGGCTGAGTCAGCTGTGGGGAACCATGGGGTCGTGAGGTGTGAGCTGACCCCGACACTCGACGACCCCGGCTGAAGGGGACCATGGGACCGCGAGGGGTCAGCGACCCCAGGCACTCACTGGACTCGATTGAGGGGGAGACCATGGGTAAGTAGCGGGGGACACGGGGCGAGAGAGACAACTGCGCCGAATGCTCACTGGGCTCGCTGCTGGCTGCCGTGTCGGGCGGCTCGTCCAGGCTGAAGGTGGGGCTGGCCATGCCGCCGCCTACGGCCCAGTCGTCGTCAGGACCCATCAGGAAGGCGGCGTTTACGTTACTCAGCATGCGGCTGCTCTCCTCAGTGACCACGATCGACGGCTGCATCGAGACGAGCCGCCAGGCTGGGTGCGGTGGTGAGGTCGGAGCGCGTTCTGGGCCCAGGCGAAGACGTCGCTGACGGAGTCACTTCACCCCGCGGCGGGTCAGAGGTTGGGGTCACTTCAGAGCTGGCCTGGGCGTGGGCTGCGCCGCAGTGGAACGCTCCCGCACTACACACCAGCACACAACAGAAGGCGTTCGTTTGACACCGGAACGAGCCTTTCTGGCTAGAGAATTCCCCTCTCTCACTACATACTGATAGCCCTGTTTGTAAGCCCCGAACTCATGGTTAAATCAGAATCCGCCTTACTCGAGCGCTATTGCCCATTTTTGATAATTTGAGACGAGGAGGCCACTGAGATAAAACACACAACTGCCGCACAGCAGTCGAACTATGCGCTGCTTTACAAATACGTCGCGTTCTATTCCGTCGCGGGCGGTGGCCGCCCTACCCGTCATCTGCCCATCAAAAATAGCAGCCAATTGCCCACGGCAAAACACTTCCAACACGGCAGAACATGCCACTAGGGGCGCCAGCTGACGAACAGGGACGATTTTCGATGCCGCACACACACACACACACACACACACTCTCTCTCTCTCTCTCTCTCTCTCTCTCTCTCTCTCTCTCTCTCTCTCTCTCTCTCTCTCTCTCTCTCTCTCTCTCTCTCTCTCTCTCTCTCTCTCTCTCTCTCTCTCTCTCTCTCTCTCTCTCTCTCTCCCTCTCTCTCTCTCTCTCTCTCTCTCTCTCTCTCTCTCTCTCTCTCTCTCTCTCTCTCTCTCTCTCTGCCCCTCTCTTTCTCTCTCTCTCTCTCTTATTTAATGAGCTGTGTTGGCGGTCGGCTTAGTCACCACTACAATACCTTCACATAGCCCACAGTATAGGGTTATTTAAGGTGAGCTCCAAGGCTAACGGCAACAGATACATCTAAACGTCATGCCTAGAGAGGATGCAGTGGAACATCACGGGAGCAGCAGGAATGGTCGGCGGCGGGCGGCGAGGCCCCCACGTGTTTGGCTCACATGCGGGCGACTGAGATTACCGAAAAGTCGACGGCGCTCATCCGCAGCACACGCACACGCACACGCAGCGAATCAGCTTGAAGACGACAACACGGCGCGAGTAGCGCAGTCTGGCACGGCGGCGGCCGTGCGAGCGCAACTGAAAGATCAGCCGGCGGGGTACGCTGCGTGCACGGGGCTCACCTGTCCCCGGCGCCGGTGCCGGCGGTCAGTGCGAGCCCGGGTCGTCGGCTCCTCTCGTGCCGCCGCCGACTGCGTCATGCTGTCGCCAGGACGACCGTGACCACAACAGAGACGGCCATCCCGGACCAGGATCAATTGCGACTCCGCTCGGGGGCCTGCGTGTCGTCCGGGAATCGGCCGGCTCATGCCGTCGTCGGATGACGCCGATGCGGCTGTTGAGGCGGGCACCCGGTGTCGTGCGCGCCTCGCTCGAGACTCGCATTGGGCGAGATTCTCTTTCAAATGAAGCGCCCGTTTAGCAGTGCGAGCTGAACGAGTGTCAGGGAACCTACAGAGGAGGGGGGGGGGGGGGGGACGGCTTTCTTCTCAGTATTGCTATTTGAACTGTGGCGGACTTATGCTAGATCTTCGCAGATTTTGTGGACTGCACCCAGGTATACGCACTTCACGTTCTTGGAGCTCACCTCCATTAAAACATTGCTCAGAGACATCGTTTTGCGTACGTTTGAACTACATTTTGCATTTTCTTCTTTAGTCCGAACCTATTGATTGGATGGATTAATGGGATCGGCGTCCACGCCAAGCAATGCTCGTCGCGCAGGCCCCAGCCGCACCATCTGGTCGCAACATTCCGGTCCAGCGGCACATTCTGCAGAGAAACTTAAGATTGTCGCTCTGCTTGGCACAATCCGTTCTGCTCTCTGACGTCAGGTGGTCTTTAGCGTGGCCGCTTCCGCCGGCCATACGCCATCCCAATCAGGGCGAAATGGCGAGCGCCTAAAGCGACTCGAACTCACCACACAATGGGTTGGTGAATCAGAAGGCAAGCGTTGTACACAACTGAGCTACGAGAATTGACTTTGATACTAGAACGTACGCATTTCTATTTTGAGGCCTGTCTTGTCATGGAACGTCTAACGTTCTCAGAATGTTTTGGCTGGAGCTGGTTCATGGCGGCAGCGAATCCAGAGGTATAAGAGCGGGTCAGGATTACGCCCCTTCTGGGCCTTGCCGGACTATACCCGTGGTAATCCGTTAGTACTTGAACTATTTACAGGTGATAACCATCTTTTATTTCCGTATCGGACTCTTTTTTGGTCAAAACATTTTGTGTGCTTGGGTCTGTACGACGCACTCAGCTGCTGAGGCTATGGTGTCACTTGCCTCTCAACCCAGCAGGAAAGGTGAGAACCAAGGGGAATCGATCCCCTTACCTTTGGTTTCGCAGACGCGCAGCGTAACCACCACGCTGTCGGTCACCCAGTTAAAACAGCCTCGGTTTTATAATCTTTTAAGGTGGCCTATGATCGTTTTAGTGGGTGCTGCTCTTTGCAGTGACAGTTCCAAGCTGATACCAAGTTATTGAGGCCATCGACTGCCACATAACACACGAGCACCCAACGAATAGTCGCAGGAAGCTCTGCCGATTTCGGGAATCGCCAGAGTACAATTAGGATGTGCGATGAAACGCGCCCTGTCGCATTCACAAACACCGATTAAAGCTAGTTGTTAAAAGTCGTTATGCATTAAACAGCACATGCCGATAAACTGCAGGCATTGAATGATTCGCAGGAACGGGGTCTAGTCAAACAAACATGCAGTGGAAGGTGATCCCGATTTTCGAGTGTAATGCCATGACATTGACGCATTGTTAGCTAATGCGTGCGGTACCAAGCGCAGATATCAATTGCAACTTTTTTTGAAACCCTGGTTTGCTTGGTACCCTACGCGCTGATAGTCCATCCGAACTGAATACTACGACGTGAATACAATACATCAAACACCATGCACCAGCAGCCGAGAGTGAGTTTTGGGCATCGCAGCAGCCGGTAATAGCCAGTTTTGAAGGCATCCGTACTTAATGCACCAGGCGACGGGTACCCTGCTGTCGGGTACCCTCGGCATGGGATGCTTGACGCTCACGAGGTACGTTAGAAGATGCGTCGTCTTGAAGATGCTGAAGAGGATTGTGCGAACTGAGAAGGCTGGGAAAACCGTGGGACAACGGAAATAAGGAACCACCTCCCAATACCTTTCACCGGTCGCCAAGGTAGCATTCAAATGCTCCGGGGTCGACACCGTACCATTTCAGCTTGGTCAAGAAGACAACACGATCAATGCCGTCGAAGGCACGACTCAGACGGCGAACGTAGCGGCAACGGCATCTACAACGTTGATGCGGTGCGTGATTCATTCGATAGCGTCGATCGAAGCGTCCCCTGTCGAATGGCATCGGTGTGCATACTGTGAGCAGACTAAAATAATGGTTGCGTCAATATATGATGACAGCTGAAAGGAAACAACTTTTTAACATATTTTAGTCAAAGTCGACAGAGCGGAGATGAGTCCAAAGTCGCTGGCCTTGTATCGAGGGCTGCTTTAACGGTGAAAACGTCAGGACAGCTTGTAGGAGGTGTGAACGCACATAGAGATTATAGATACATTGACAAGGTGCAGTAAACGAAGTCAGAAAACAATGGGACAGCACTAACGAACGACATATGGCGGCACATCATGACCAACTGCCCGCGAGGACAACTAATGTACCGCCAGGGGTGCAGCCCCAGCCTTGGTGAAGGGGATGGCAAAGGTTCGACGAAAATCATCTTCTGGTGTAAGGCCCCTCGCCAAAAGATCACCAGCTTTGGGCAACTTGATTTCGAAACCCGTCATTCTTTGTTTTAATTTTCATTGCTGTATCACTTCATGAAGCAGAAGTTGCAGAAGCCATCGCAGTTATGTTTGTATTGTAAAATATGTAAGCGGAAGGAGCCACGCTGTTTATTTTGAAATCGTTAGATGTTTTCTTTGTAAATCGATAGCGCTCAGAGGCTTTGGCTTATTTTTCGCGGTTTTACAGGAATATTGAGGACTACGTGGACTGGTGGAGTGTCGGAACGCGTGGTAGGCTTCGTCTCCCTCACTAAGTAGCTGATGCAGTTCCGGGCTGTGCTTTAGCCAGGGACAGCTGGGGCGACGAGGAGTTGCAGCTTCTAACGGGCAATGTCCGCCCACTTCATCACCACGTACGCTTAAAAACGCACTTCTGTAATGATCAATGGTCAAGTGATCTCACAAATTCACCTACTTAAATCAGCAGTTGATCGATAGTTTGCATAACAGCATTAGTGAAACAATCCTAGCGGCGCATGTGCCAGCGCCTGTCTTCCATGCTCGCCTTGCGCCCGCCTCTAGCCCCAGTCACTAGTCCCTGGCGCGCACTCTAAATCGCACCTGGCCCGGCTCCCAAGGTCCCTTCCTGGTCCCTTGCGCTCACCCTGGTCACTTTGGTACCAGCCGTCGGCCCTCCTCGTTGTCTGTCACCCGTCCCCACGTCGTTTCCATCCGCACAGCGGCTCCAACCGGCGTCGCCCGCGAGCGCGCCGCCCACTTGGCGTTCGCCAGAACCCAGTCGACGTATGAAGCCACCCGCGTGTAGATGCCGGGGTAGCCCGGCTCGGCGCAGCGGTAGCCGTTGGAGACGACGCCGATGACGGCGTGCGTGCCGTCGGGGCGCGAGGCGATGAGCGGGCCGCCGCTGTCGCCCGTGCAGGCGTCCCGGCCCGGCGCCGCCGCGCACAGCTTGGTGCGGCCGAAACCGCCCGGGAACGTGTACCGGAAGTCGGGGAGCGTGCGGTACTGGGTCTCGCACTGGTCGGCGTCCTTCAGGCGCACCTCGGCGACGAGCAGCGACTCCGACGTGCTGCCGTTGAAGGCCTGGCGGCCCCAGCCGGCCACGCGGACGGGCCGCCCCTCGAACCGCTCGCCCGGCTCCGGCAGGCAGGGCGGCCGCCATCGTCGCTGAGAACGTCACCGGCCGCGTCAGCCGCAGCAGCGCCAGGTCGTTGTGCTTGACGCGCGGGTGGAAGCGGGGATG